AAACTCTTGGATTTATCCCTTCTCTTCTCAGAAGTTGGTTTTGGTCTTTGAAAAAGGTGTATCTGCCCAGCCTGGGCGACAGAGCCAGACTCCATATCTCAAAAAAAAAAAAAAAAGAAAAAAAGAAAAAGGTGTATCTGGATAGGATAGTTTTTAGGTACTTGTACCTGAAAGGATAGGTTACTGCTAAGGCCCAAATTCAAATAACTGGCTTTTCCCCCCCTTTCCTTCCTGTACACCGGCTTTACTTTCCCTTCCTAGGACGAGGGGTCCTGGGCAGGGTGATGCTAGGTAACCTGTACACTGGCTTTATTAGCATGGGCTCTAACTTGCCTGCTACTTAATGATAAACTTCTTCTTTCTTTCTTTCTCTTTCTCTCCTTCCCTTCCTTCTTTTCTTTTCTTTCTTTCTTTTTTTGAGATGGAGACTCACTTTGTTGCCCAGGCTGGAGTGCAATGGTGCGATCTCAGCTCACTGCAACCTCCACCTCCCGGGTTCAAGTGATTCTCCTGTGTTAGCTTCCTAGTAGCTGGGATTACAGGTGCACACCACTATACCCAGTTAATTTTTGTATTTTTAGTAGAGATGGGGTTTCACCATGTTGGCCAGGCTGGTCTCAAACTCCTTATCTCAGGTAATTCACCTGCCTTGGCCTCCCAAAGTGCTGAGATTATAGGCGTGAACCACCACTCTCGGCCAAACTTCTTTAGAACTAAACATCCATGTAAATACAAATGGTGACGATTTTTAAAAGAATGACATTTGAAAACACACCAGCTTCTACTCCAGTATTCTCAGAGAAAGAAAAAAAAATCAGGAGGAAAGAAGAGAACTTCAAAAGGATAGATGACATAAAAGCTACTACCTTTCAGGTTACTGGCAAGATGCTTGTGTCCAAGGTTTACACCAGGGGTGTTCAATCTTTTGGCTTCCCTGGGCCACATCAGAAGAAGAAGAATTGTCTTGGGCCACATATAAAATACACTAATGATAGCTAAGGAGCTAAGAAAAGAAAATCTCAAAAGAAACTCATAATGTTTTAAGAAAGTTTACGAATTTGTGTTGGGCTACATTCAAAGCTGTCCTGGGTTGTACGTGGTCCATGGGCCAAGGGTTAGAGAAGCTTAGTTTGTTTATTTATTTATTTTTTGAGACAGAGTCTCGCTCTGTTTCCCAGGCTGGGGTGCAGTGTTGTGATCTCAGCTCACTTCAACCTCCGCCCCCCAGGCTCAAATGATTCTCATGCCTCAGCTTTCCGAGTAGCTGGGATTACAGGTGTGCACCACCACACCCAGGCAATTTTTGTCATTTTTTAGTAGAGATGGGGTTTCTTCATGTTAGGCTGATCTCGAACTCTTGGCCTCAAGTGATCCACCCGCCTTGGCCTTCCAAAGTGCTGGGATTACAGGCGTGAGCCACTGCGCCTGGCCTGGACAAGCTTAGGTTAGACTGTGTCCAGTTTGAGCCTAAGATAAAGTTCATAGCATGCCTTGTCAGAGTCTACCTTGTGAATGGTAGGTCAGAACCTCTTCAAAAGCACATTTGAGTTTCGGGAAAGTACTCAACATAAGGGAGGAAGGATCCATGCTTAATGAGGTCTACTCAGTGATGAGGTAGTGATAAAAGAGAAAGGGGATTATGCGTGATAGATACATCATGGGTATTTATCACTCAGATCTGTCTCTGAGCCTTGTCTCCATTGGGTTGATATTTGAGTATTACTAAAAGCAGGTGTAGCTCTAGTGAACTGGAAAGAGTGCCTTTTGAAAGACAGCCAGGCAGCAGTGTTGCATGATGCTGGGATGTTTAGAAAGTGTAGACTTGCTTTTGATCACACATGAGACAGAACTGGAGATTCACAGAAATACTTAGAAAACTTAGCAGAGGGCTGAGTTAATTCAGTAGATGGGGGTAACAGGCTCTTAACAATTAAGTAATTATAGTCAATGTGCTTCCCTTTGTACTTTCAGGTAGGTAAAGCCTGGAGAAACGGGTTACATAAAGATATAAAAATCAATATAGAAGTTCTAGAAAAAAATTGTACTTAAACTTCAAAGAATTAGGTAGTGCTAATTTCGACAATCTCTCTTTTCTTACCTATGTTTTTCTTGTCTTTCTTGAAGAAAGTAAAAATGTGAATCAGAATAATGCCATCACTGTTGGTTCCATTGGGATAAAACCAAAACTATCACAAAAATATCCTTTGAAACCTAACACACCTATAGGAAAGTAAAGTATTTCTCTTGTTTTCAGAGACATTCTAAGAAATCTTTATCTCTAAAGGACATAGATACCTCTATAATTTTTTGGCTTCTGAAGAATGAGATAAGTGAAAATTATGACATTAAATTTCTGTCTCTTTAGCAGCAACTCCACCTACTGAGTACTCCAAAAACTCATATTTGTACAAATACAAACTTTTCAGAATAACATCAAATACTTACTTGTCTCCTACAATACCCAAGTTGATTGTGGGGTAACCATGTTCCTGAATTGTTGCTAGAAGAGTTGAACGATTGCTGTCTCGAATCTTCCCTGGTAAGAGGTCATCTTCAGGATTTAGCAGCTACAAAGCCAAAAAACCACCACAAATTATTCTATTAGGATAATGTTGTATATTTCTAATGAAAAAAAATCTACTAAACTGAGTTTAACATATCTAGCACCTACAATGGTATCTGGCATTTTGAAGGTGAATGCCCAAAGGATCTTTAAATAAATATTGAAAGTATAGGAGGATGAGAAAATGTTCCTATGGAAGTCAGAAAACACTCAGACATTTACCAGGTTGGGCTCCAATTTGATGATAATGCTCTGGAGATACTGGCCAAACTAAATAAAACAATTACCTTTTTTTCTCCCAATATTATTTTCCAATTTATCTTTCATTGGGAATATTTGAGGTACAGATTGTGTGACATGATATCCTTAAGTCTGAACAGAATAATAGTTTATCTTTCCTTTCAAACTTTTTGGTCTCTTTTCTGAAGTGGGGTCAACAGTATCAAAGAAGTTAGGCTTATGTGAAGGACAGAAGACATGTTTTGTCTCTGATACTAGCAAACTTAAGTAATACTTAGCTACATGTATGTACAATTCCATTATTCTGAACTGAATGAACCTTCAGAGATTTAATATCTACTATGTCTATGAAGAAAAGTAAAGAAGCTTATTATATCTTAGGATGTTCCAATAAGGTAGTCAGATTGTATAGTAGGAAGAGCTTTGGATTCCTATAGGGTTCAAATTCAAGTTGACAAAATTCTTTGTCTTAATTTTCTCATTTATAAAATATAGTAATAATAACTACCTTGCAAGGTAATTGTTAGGAGTGAGATAATGAACATTCAGTTTATGCAGATAAATGTACAATAAATGTGATTCTCTTTCCTTTCTTGATGACATATGACGTCAAAAGATCACCTACTTTCCTCCCAATTGTTCTCATGTTGTTACCCCTAGATGCTAGTACAGATGAAATCAGTTTATAATGTGAACACAGACTATTAGATTATAAAATACCTAAGAGTAGTGGGTTCTTAACACACACAGACACATTCTTACAACAATTTATGTACAAGTTTTAAGATATGCTTTGATTTCAGAATTTATAAAGTAAAAAAAGTACTTATTTGAAGTGAGAAAACCTGGACTATTATTTTAGGAGGTTAAAGGCAAGCCTGCACATTTAAGATGTTATAGCTACTAATATGGCCAACACCAGAGCTTAATATATGAATTCTCCCAGACAATAACCACAAGCCCCAATCTTCCTTCAGACTCATTAGTGATACTACGTGGCCAGATTTTTGACTTTATATTGGAAAAGTAGTAGCTTTGCAACCAACTGTCCCCTTACAATAGGCTAGAGGAAAACTCTGACCATCTTATTCAGTGTCACCAGGGAGTCTTCCCTTTGAATACTGTACTAATTTTACTTAATCAGATGCCATGTGACATTGTAACTCACTTTCATTCTTACTCACTGGGAGTGCTTGGAAAATTGCTATTGCAATGCTAACACAGATTAATTTTCTGATCTTAATTAACACACAGTTATTAAAGTGATTATAATTTTATAAGGGGCAAGGCTTGCAGCTCTTTAACTCCATTAATCAAACCAGTTGCTTTAGAAAGAAAACTGTGTGATTATGTCATTTTTTTTCAAAGCAGGGTGCTGACCACCAAGTAAATAAGATTCCTCTGTTATCAGGGTGTTTTCTTTGCTATTTATGTTCCTCTCTGTTATTTTGCTGCAAACAGTTCCAGAAATAATGGAAAATTAGAGGTCACTGGAGAACCAGTTATTTGTCTGTAAAACTGACAAAATGAAAAAATAGCTAGTTACATGAGGGTGTGGGATTTACAGTGCATTTTAAATAATTTCAAAGACAACAATACAGAATTAAATGTCAGAGTATAAGGCTAAATATACTAGAATAAACTCACAATTTTTCCTTTTAAAACTGAATCTTATTTTCTGTTATACTTCCAGTCATCTTGGGAATGATGTCTGAAATTTATTATAGTTTCAATAGAAAAAAATACAAGGTAAAACAAAACGTAACCCATCATCTCCATATCAAGTCACCAACTTCAATTTCCCATTTTTGGTATTATCAATGGTGCCACTATCTTCCCACTTTTTTTTTTTGAGATGGAGTCTTATTCTGTTGCACAGGCTGGAGTGCAGTGGTGCAATCTCAGCTCATTGCAACCTTCGCCCCCTGGGTTCTAGCGATCCTCCTACCACAGCTTCCTGTGTATCTGGGACTACATACACACACTACCATGCCTGGCTAATTTTTGCATTTTTAGTAGAGATGGGGGTTTGCCATGTTGGCCAGGCTGGTCTTGAACTCCTGACCTCGGGTGATCTGCCTGCCTCGGCCTCCCAAAGTGCTGGGATTACAGGCGTGAGCCACCGCGCCCGGCAGGAGGGATAAATCTTTGGACACTTATCAGCCTGCTGATGGCGCCAGAGGAATTTATAGATCAAACTTTATTAACTAGCCTTTAATCTATCATTAGTTTCCCATATATTTGCCTTCCCACAGATTGCTGGCCCTAGAGACTCAAAATCCTTTTCTTTTGTCTCATCACTTCTCTAAGAATGTATCGTTCTTTGCTGAAGATGCTATTTAAGCCAGACTTCTCAGCCAACACTTTAGGAGTTACTAATTTTCCGTTGGGTATCTCCCATATATACATGAGGTATACATGTTAACTAACTTCTGTTTTTTTCTTGTTAAGAAAAAAAATCTATCTTTTATAGAGGTCCCAGGTAAGAACTCATAGGGTTGAGGAAAAATTATTTTTCCCTCTCCAGCATTGTCAAGGTGATGTTTTCTTTTCCTCAGAAACTTTAATATAACCATTTTGTATGATCAACAAGTTTCTCAGGTGGTCTTTCTGTTAGGATTTTGGTATTATGAAAATCCTACCAAGACTTAGGCGGGAGCCCTTGCCACAAGTTATATTATTGGTTATACTGTATTTCAGTGAGGTCTCTTCTGCCTTTTTGTTGGGGGGATTCCTTGTCTATGATGCTTAGATTAACTCCAGCCCTTGTTTTGAGGTCTGATCCTTTTTTTTGTTGAACTCCCAAAGATAGCTGATATTTTGTTATAAGTATAAGGTTTCCAGAATTGTTTGGTTATGATTGGATTTATATTAATTTTTTTCTCAGTAAAGATTTGAAACTGGCCATCCTATCTGTCAATTGGCCACATTGTTGTGTGCCTATGAGAACTTTTCTTAGTTTTGTTTTGTCTATGAGAAACTGGCTTTGGGAAAGATTTCCTCTCTACCCATTCTAGCTTGTTGGGTTTTAGGGTTAGCTGTCAGGGGTTCAACCTTTACTGTTGAGGACTTTAGATACAATATTTAAGTGCTATTTTTCCCTTCTGAATGACCAGTAGCTAATGAATTCATGGGTTCATTTAATAATAAACTTGCACTATCTCCAGGCATAACTCTGGCTTCTGTTTTCTCTTTCACATATTTATCTTTCTAAAAAGTATAATTTCATCAAAGACAACTTGGAATTGCAGTGGTCATTTTGAAGTACTTTTGATATGAGTATGATTATTCACTATAAAGTATGTTTAGAGACTTAATTAATGCTATAGTCTTGATGGAATCATCAAGGGCCTAAGACATTATTCGAACTGGTTGTAATGACTTCCTTTCTTTCTCACATATTGAAATGGGTTTGCTTGCTTTTAAGGCTTTCCCACTCTTTGCAAAGAGAAGATGATTAGACTTTTATAGTGGTCAGTAATTCTCTACATATTTGTGGTAATCATCTCAGTTTCTTTCTCCGTCTTCTAGAAAACTTAATTTATTAATTGATCAAAACGCAATTCTGGTTATTATGGACACACCCAGATAGTTCAGATAAATAGGTCTAACAGAAAAAGAGGGAGAAAAGTCAATGAGCTCTCATGAAGCATGTTCCTGTTCCAAATAGCTTTTAACAAAACTGGGGAAAAAAGGTTTAACTGATAGTTAAGCTAATTGCTTGGCTTACTAGGTTACAAGATAAGAAGGGAAGAGAAACATTTAGAGCTTTTAAACATAATTTAAGGAGTCTTTAAGAATTTGGTTTAGAAATACAGAGTTTTACAAATTGTATTAGAAAATAATTACTATAATATTTCCATTAAGCTGACTATGGACAGATTTGATTGGTTTAATAATTTTGGCTTAAAACCTGTCCTGTGAAGTGGCTATGGTAGCATAAGCCTGTAGTCTCAGCTACTTGGGAAGCTGAGGTGGGAGGATCGCTTGAGCTTAGGAGTTTAAGGCCAGCCTGGGCAAAATGGCAAGACTCTTTCTTTCTTTCTTTTTTGGATTCTGAATGAGTTTTCTTTTCCTGTCTTTTTAAAATTTTTAATTCAATAGGTTTTTGGGGAACAGGTGGTATCTGGTTACATGAATAATTTCTTCAGCAGTGATTAGTGAGATTTTGGTGCACCCATCTCCTAAGCAGCTCTGCCCTGCCCTCCCCTCCCCTCCCTTCCTTTCCTTGTTTCTTTTCTTTTCTCTCCCTTCCCTTCCTTTCCCTCCCCTCCCCTCCTTCCCTTCTTCTTCCCTCCCTCCCTCCCTTCCTTCCTTCCTTCTCTCCCTCTCCCTCTCTCTTTCTCCCTTTGTTTTTTTTTTAATTTTTTTTTTTTTCAAGGTATCACTCTGTTTCCCAGGTGTAGTGCAGTGGAATGGTCATTGCTCACTGTAACCTTTGCCTCAGCCTCCTGAGTAGCAGAGACTACAGGGGCATAGCATCATGCCTTGCTAATTTTTGTATTTTTTTGTAGAGTTAGGGTTTTGCCATGTTGCTCAGGCTGGTCTCAAACTCCTAGCCTCAAGTGATCTACCCATCTCAGCCTCCCAAATTGCTGGGATTACAGGCATGAGCCACCACAGGTTGCATATCTAAATTTTAATATGCACAGTTTGTTGAAATCAACAAATATCGAAATCAGCTATTCCATGTTAGCTATAGTTGATAACTCTATATCCCCAATTTTGAAATAATTTGCTGGTCCTTAACAAGCTCATACAGTAACAAAATACCAGGTAGGTTTTAAAGAGTATACATAGATATCTTGTATGGCATTCTTTGGGTTGCCAAGGCAACTGTCCTGCTTACCAATATGTCACATGAAATTCAAGAAGTGGACATATGTGAAACCATATATATCTTTTTGTTTGTTTGTTTTTGAGATGGAGTCTCTCTCTGTTGCCTAGACTAGAGTGCAGTGGTGCGATCTCAGCTCACTGCAACCTCCGCCTCCCGGGATCAAGCAATTCTCCTGCCTCAGCCTCCCAAGCAGTTGTCACTACAGGCATGTGCCATCACACCCAGCTAATTTTTTTGTATTTTTAGTACAGACAGGGTTTTGCCATGTTGGTCAGTCTGGTCTCGAACTCCTGCCCTCAAGCGATCCTCCTGCCTCAGCCTCCCAAAGTGCTGGGATTACAGGCGTGAGCAACCATGCCCAGCTATTGGTTTTGGAAACTAAAACCAATACTTAAGGAAGTTTGTACTGTGACTGGGTAAATTATGGCCTTGCCACATTAAGTGCAATTTCTTTTGCCCTTTCTGAAAATAGATAATATTTTTTTGCTATTGTTCTCTGGGTATCTGAGAATTTCAAGCCTTCAGGAGAGATAATATGCTTTATCTCTTTTATCACCAATTTCCAGTAAAGTGCCTGGCACAGAGGTACCCAATTATCTGCTGAACAAAACTAAATTATATGATCACAGAGTCATAATAAAAACTAACTTGAATAAGAGAAAGGGAGGAATGTTGAGCTATATGGAACCCAAGATTATATAATTTAGAAGCATTATTCTCTTGGAAAACTGTGGTATAGTTTGGTATAGCAGCCCTGTTAAAGTAGGGGAATGAGTCATTTAGAATTAGTCAAAGCTTCTTCAAGAATAATACGCTCTATGGGGGCAGGGAACTAAGACTACAAATTCTTCCCTAGATTTCATGATATAATACCATCTCTATTTTCATCCCATTATCTTAGCCTACTTCCAGTAATTAGTTTTAACTGAGTGTAAAAGGTAGCTTAAACAAAACACTAACAATATACTCTGTGAATAATTGAGAGGCTGAGTCCAGACCTACAAAAGCATGAGAGAGAAATATAAGCAGTATCGCTTAAACAGAGTTTCCTATTAACTAAATAGTTATTTATGAGTGTGTTAATTCTTATTTTACTTTATTTTGTGATAGGGTCTCACTCTGTCACCTAGGCTAAAGTGCAGTGGTGCCATCGTAGCTCACTGCAGCCTTGAATTCCTGGGCTCAAGTGATCCTCCCACCTCAGCCTCCCCAGTAGCTAGGACTATAGGCATGTGCTACCAAGCATAGCTATTTTTAATTTTTTAGTAGAGGCAGGGTCCCACTATGTTGCCCAGGCTGGTTTTGAACTCTTAGCCTCAATTGATCCCCCTGCTTCAGCCTCCCTAAATGCTGGGATTACAGGTATAAGCCACCATGCCTGGTCCCTGAGTGTGCTGCTGTTTAGCTTTCTCAAACTCCGTGAACTTACTTGATGCACAAAGCATGTTAAGTAAATCATAAAAAAGAATAGTTCATTGAGTCAACCAGTTTAATAAAAATTTATTTCTGATGCTATATATAGTGTTATTTGGTCCTAAGGATATTAAAATCATTACTGTGTAGATCAAATTGAAAAGAATGTTTGTTTTCTGTCAATCAATAGTTTTTGGAAATGACTAGTGTATATATACTGGGAAGTAAGCACATCTGGAATGTTGATTTAGCTATCCATTCGCAAAATAAAAGAGTCTATTCTTTTGCTTTAACCAAAAGGACTATAAGGTCATAAAAAGACCTTTGAAAATTTTCATTTCCAAGACTTCAAGAAATTAAAAATAATGATGAGTTTATTTTCAGAACAAAGAGATCAAAAAAAAATCCCGTTAATCTTTTCTTTAATAGTAACGTCAAAGGAATTATTAATACTTTTAAAAATCTCAATAGTTTCTGATTCTTTTAAAAGGTTTTGAATTTCCAGCAGATTCACATTTTAGTATTCTCTATTTGACCTTAGAGCTTCTGACTGAAGTTTTGCACAACCTAAGCAAAACAGGCAATGGGAAGTTTTTTAATAGTTCTCAGAAAGAGACGAACTAAATTCTCTTTTCTAAATCAGGAATGAAATGATGTTTTGACCCATTCTAAATATCATGCCACTAGAGATGCTATCTTTAGGGAGAGAGAAAAAAAAAACCCTGATTATCAAATCCCTCTTGGTGATTAAAGATCAAATGGAACTTTTCGTAAGAAGTACTAGCCATGATGTCCTGATTCATTGATACTTCCCACACAGAAGTGGCCCATCATTTCAGCAGCAGGCTGGGCACAATTCATTGTCTAAACAGAAAAAGTACTGAGTTTGCATAGTTTAATATCCATAGCTAGCAGCTAAAATTCTTTGCTTATGTGTACTGACTTTGTGGAAACGCCATTGGTTATATTTCATTCTAATAGAAGAGAACATTTCATAATACATAATTTTTACTAGTTCTTCTTTGTTCTCATATTCTGAACTTGAAACTATCCTTAGGCCAATTTATTGTTTCCCTGTTGTAAGAATGTGGACCCACTGGTATGATCTATAATCTACAACATTCTATTTACAACACAGAACAGATGTCAGAAATACCTTTATCTTACAGGCCCGCTCCCCACTCCCTCCATTTTTACTTTTAATACCTCATTCCCTGTTGACATGACTGCAACCACTGGAAATTTATTAACTTCAACCTCTGTGACACCTACAGTTGCCAGAAGACCAATCTCTGAGGGGCCCATGTGGGTTCCTTTGGCCAAAACACATTCCCCTCTTTTAATGTCATGGCCGATGGGTCTGAAAGTCAAAGCAGAATCATAAGCAGTGTGATTAAGAACAATGTTTTCTCAACTCAGAGGGAAACTTTCGTGTCAAAAAAAAGGACATTCAAGAGGATAAAAAAGTTAAGAAATAAAGTAGTAGGAAAATAATGAAATGAAGGGATTCTAAAAATCCTATGCTTTTTTAATTTTAAAAGTTAAATCACACAACAGAAAACAGAAATAGGATTTGAATATATTACTGCTAAAGAAAAATATGTTACTTCATATTTGAAAATTTTTTTTCCTGAGTACCTGTGAAGAAAATTACTTTACAAATTGTTTTGTGTTACATTTTAGTAAAAATACCAATTGTAAACTTTCTTTGATAAGGCAAGAATTCGTATGAAAATATCTAGTGGCATTAATAAGAGGTCCACAGCTGACTAGCTTTGTGGCAAGGAGATTAATGCTAATGAGGTTACAGTTATAGAGATAATTTCCATTTGGACCACTTAGGTTGGTCCTGATCTGTGGCTACCGAGGTACATTCACCTTGGTGTGCTGCCATAGGGATGGGAGAAGTGTAGCTTCGTTACAAAGGGATGTTCAGCAAATTAGTATTAATGGAATCAGGGTAAATATATTCCATTGGAAGAAAAATAATTTAAGGTATATGCACTATTTATTATAGCAAATAGCTTCATCTTTGCATATAAGGAGGAGCAGATTATTCCATTATTATTGGTAGTCACTAGAGCATATGCTATCAGTTAACTGTGTAAACACCCAATTCTGGTATTATCTGAGTTAATACCAAATTCCAGATTATTTAGGAATGGGATTGGGTAATTCTGGATTATCTAGGAGTAGAATTAACTGTAGAATATGTAGGCTCATGATTTTACCTCTTTCTCATCTTGCTTTTGACTAACTTGCCTTTACTATCTTCATTAAAAAGTAGGCAGGGCAGATATGTGATACAGAATTCATAACGTTCATTTTGCTTTTTGTTAAAGCCCTGAAAATTAATGGCTAACTGACATGGCTGCAGATTTATAGTAGCCAGGGTTTCCTGAGTAAATGATCATATAGAAACAAAAGTAGGTTATATATTCTATGTGTTTTGAAGTTACCTGATATCTTGGCCTGGCCGAGCTTGCACCAAAATTCGCACTTCAAGTTCTTCAGTGCCCTATAATAAGAGCAGGTCATATAATTTCAAACAGAATTTCTGAGCAGTAGAATTTAGCTACTCTGATACTTTTACCATCAGATAGGCCCAGGATATATACAAATATAGAGAAAAAGACAATTATTTGCTACACCCTTTGAAAACACTGAATTTCTAACACAGGTTCCTGAAAAATTAGAAGGTTTGGTGGCAATAAATAAAAAAATTAAAATGTACCAATTCAAATATTAAATCTTGTTTATAATACATTATAAATTTATATACACACACACACACACACACACATATATATATATATAGCTACCCTAATAAAGTGAATGTGCATGGAGGTAATAGCTTTCTTCTTTTCCCATGAATCATGGGATCAATACCATGCCAAGGTTACCAAATACTTACAGAAATTTCAGTAAAGGACTTATAGTTTGCCTGGTAGTAGATTTCTGTACATTAATTGCAATAATCAATTTTACATTTATGGGCTGTGAATAATATTGTGACATTGGAACCGTGTCTTGTCATCTGGCAGAGTCTGTGGATGCATGTGTTCTGGACTTCAGTGCTCTGCTGGCTTCCCTGATGCCAATAAATCTGCTTAGGCAGTTTTAACAGCAGGCAATGTGACCTGTTTGCCAAGAGTTGAATTTTATAAACCTTACATATGGAAAGGTGATCAGAAAGAAAATCTCCAGATCAAGGAAAGTGTCTGTCTCTTGGCATGGCCAATTTTACTATCTACTCAGCTTGGGAGAATATATGTTTATTTTCAACCTCAGCTTTACAATATATCTTTACTTTCTTCACAAAACAAGAAACATAGCTGATTATTAAAACCTCAGTTGAATCTATTCTACTTTTATTACTGGATTATACTCTGGTTTCAATAACCTGCCACTATTTTCAGCGAGATAAAGGCTTGCTTAGATTCCAGCATCTTTTACTTGAGGTAATGGAGGGAGAACTGACATACACTTAATATTTGCAGGCTGTCATTTGGTGGCACAACTTTTTCCGGACTTACAGAAAACCAGAGGTGAAAGGGTCATTTGGTTCAAGTGCTTGGCTTAGTGTAATATTCAATAACTTGCCCAAGTGCTCTTTGTTAAATGCTTCTCTAGTGAATTCTGATTTCATGAACTCCTTGACATTTTATCAGAAGCTAGTCTCAGTGGCAAAATTTTCAGCTGGAAGGTATGTCAACCATTAATATCTCTGCTCTGGAAGGTATCTCAACCATTAATATCTCTGTTTTTCTTTCTTGAGGTACTTTCTTTCCTTGTTTGCATGTGAAACTGCTTGGGTCTAATATGGTTCAAATTCTGCTATAACAGAAATGATCACAGAAACCCCTCCTGTAACAATAGATTTTCAAGCTTAAGGAAATTTCTTATTTACTGGAGACTCATATATGACAATATAAGATACCACCATAAGCAAAAACAAAACAAAACAACCCAAAAAACTGGGTTAATCTCACAAACATTGCAGAAAATGGTTGTGACATAATACTGCCATAGGAACAACAGCGCAGTAAGAGTTGGTGATGACGTACATCATCTGATTCCCTGATAAGTTCAGTATCTTCCACTTGTACTACTGCATCAGCACCGCAGGGTATTGGAGCACCTGTTGTAACCCGCATGACTTGTCCTGGCATTACTGTCTGAGTTGGCTGGAAATAAACATGAAAAAGACAGTTGATGTACTTTGCTGCTGCAAAGGAAAAGTCTGCAGAGGATGTTAATTTTTTTAATATTAAAAAAATAAAAGAAAGTCTTACAGTCTTATTCATTTTGGGCCATGTAATAAAAGTTACCCACAAACAGGTGCACTCACACTGAAGAGGCTTTAGGTTCATTTAAGCTGATTTTATATGTACTTTAAGGTAATAACTATTAGGTGTCTGTCTTGGTGCTCTGCTTTACTTTTGAAGAACTGCCATTTACATTTGCCATTTTTGCCTCTCAAATAATGTACATTTTCCTAATATATGCAAAGTGATTTGAGAGTCTGTAAGTGAAAAAATTGCTAGGACATACATTATGAATAACAATTACAAAAAAATCACCTTCGTAAATTACTGAAGTTCTGATGTTTGAGAAATGTAGTACTTTATTAACTAAACTTTTTGGTTAAATAAAGGCAAGCCAGAAATATTTTAAGTACTGCCTTTGAAAATATTCTAAAATATAAAAATATTCTAAAACATATTCTCACCTATCAATTAATAATAGAAGTTGAGCAAATATAACCAAATCTTTAAAAACGATTCCAGTGTCTGTAATGACCTAGGTTAAACATTACTTTTGAAAATGAAAAACAAAATTTTCATTGTCTATGCTCTCATATTGATGGTATAAGAGATAGAACCTCCCCTGCTAACTTCTTACAACATGGGGAAAAGCATTTTTCTGTAAGATTCATCTGATAGATTTGATCAGATAGACAAGTGATCTGAAAGTCACTTGTCAGGCGCAATGATTTAGACTGAAGTTTGGAAAAGGAATGCTTCAAATTCCCCCTAAGAAAAAATCCTGAGACAATATTAATCCCCCCCTGCCAAAAGATTACTTTCTAAAGATGTCTGCCTCATAAGTATAGTCATGTGCTGCATAAGGATAGTTTGCTCAATGTTGGACTGCATATATGATGGTGGTCCCATAAGATTACCATATTTTTTACTGTACTTTTTGTTTTGATAAACAAATACTTACCATTATAATTGCATACAGTATTCAGTACAGTAATACGCTGTGCAGGTATGTAGCCTAGGAGCAATAGGTTATACCACGTAGACTAGGTGTGTAGTGGGCTAAACCATCCAGGTTTGTGTAAGTACACTCTATGATAGTTGGACAACAAGAAAATTGCCCAACAACATATTTCTCAGAATATATCTTCGTTAAGTGACTCATGACTCTATTTAAAATCTTAAGGCCCTACATTGTGAATATATTTACCACTACAAAACTATAAGCTTGAAAACCATCAAGATGGTATATTTAATGTTATATGTGTGTGTATGTTTTGTCGTTGTTATTTTAACAACCAAAATAAGATAAAGTAAAATAAACCACACATATACACACACACCCCTTAGGGAATGGTTAAGAAAAAAAAATACCCTACTACTGAAAGTATAATCAAAGTAAAATAGGAAATTTATTAGAAAAGTCTTAAAAATCTTCTCTCCATAATATTATTACTGCAAGCAATACTACCAATAACTAATATTTATTGAACCCACAATCTATGCTAGGTACAATGTTAAGTACATTATATATTCTAGAATATAAGCCTCACAAAGACAAAGATTTGTTTCATTTTCTGTTTGCCTCTCCAGATCACATCATCATTCTCTACTCTGTGCTGTAGTCCAGAAGCTGACCTCTATGGACTATTTTAAACAGGTTCCCATCACTTTGGTGTCTGGTGAGACTCAGTCAAAGGGAGGGGTCAGTAAGATAGAGGGTAGAAGGGAGACAGAGAAGTAGAGTTTTCATTCCCCTTGCTCTTTTCCTCCTGGGCTGCAGTTTGGTGATAGTTAGGGCATCTCTACTACTGAGGGCAACAGCTGCTGTTGGGCAGTCCTCTCCCATAGCTATGAATCTTCCCAGGTTCAAGTACTGTCATCTTTCTTTGCTCCTTCAGACTAAGAGGTGGTAAGGAAATCTCATGGTTGCTAGCTCCTGGGTGCTGCAGATTCCTTTGTTGGTTTCCCTTAACTCCATCCAGACATTGGAGATAGTTTCTAATCTTTAATCATCCTTTTTCCAGACATATTGCTCTGTTACAGCAAGGCTTAGAAAGTGTGTGGCACACACTTTGCCAAGCTGAGCACCTATGCATCCCAGGCTGAGCTGATGTAGTCGCTCATATTCTAGGGAAACAGTGCTGATTGAGCCAAGATACTCTGACCTACAGGTCAAATAACTCCAGTACCCTGCTTCTCTGGAGCTAGACAATAGCCCCTTAGAGTCTGAGCTGCTGAGATACCTCTCTGTCTGGGGAGTTGAGTCATTCCTGTGTTGATCCTTGTCCCCCTGGTGATCGAACCACAGCTGTGCTCTGCCATTCTAAGGTGTCTGCTGCTGCTGCACCTGGCCTCAGAGTCTGAGGCAAGGATCTGTGTAGCCCCGCCATCCAGGGGTCTAGAGTCACTACTACACAGTACCTTATCCACTGTGACCAGAGCTGCTGCTGAGCCCTACTGGCTCTGGTTCCTGAGCTGCGGCCATACCCTGCTCCCCTGGCCAAAACCTTTCTCTTTGGAGTTTGGTCAGTACTACACCCTACCCATTAGGTATAAAATCACAGGTACAACCAGGGCACCTGGGTCCAAGCTGCTAGGGGGTGCCTCAGAGTCATAAATCTTGGTTCTTTGGGTAACCTACACCCAACTCTGCCACAGAGAATGAACCTGAACCCCAAGAACCAGGTGCCACAATGGATTCACAAGACCCTGAGCTTTGGATCCTGGCTCCACAGTCACTCCAAGCACCATTTTTGAGCCTAGTGCCACTGTAGCTGCTTGGAGGGCATGTCAGACCTAACGCCAAGAGGGATCCCTTCAGCTGATTCTCCCTATTGTGTGGAAAACAAGAAGAGGAGGACTCCAAAAACCCTTCAAACCAAGGATATTAACAGCCTATGACACTACTACCACTGACACAAACTTCTATGGATTAGGCCACTGAAGTACTCACAGTTATTGCTGACATTGAATGCAACTGAAAAAGCTGCATGGAGACTACACCATTGCACCTGTCCAGAAAGTCACCATGCCCTTTGCAACCAACACACTAAAGGCCAACTACAGGCTTCTCTACAAAACCACCCTAGAAAGTCTGAAAGAAGCAATAGTTCCACCAGGCACACAGATCAACATGGGGACACAAGAAACACAAAAAAGCAAGGAAATATGACACCACTAAAGGAATACATCTCTAGTAACAGACTCCAATGAAAAGGAAATCAGTGAACTCCTGGAGAAGAAATTGTAAAATAATGATCTTAAGGAAACTCAATTAGATACAAAAAAAACACCTAGTTATAATTCAACAAAATCAGCAAAACAATTCATAAGAACAAGAAATTCAACGAAGATACAGAAATCATAAAAAAGAACCAAACAGAAATCCTGCAGCTGAATAATTCAAATAATGAAATTAAAAATTACAATAGAGTGCTTCAATAGCAGTTTTAATAAAGCAGAAGAAAGAATCTTTGAACTTGAAGACAGGTCATTTGAAATACCCAGCGAGAGAGAGAGAGAGAGAGAGAGAGAGAGAGAGAAAGAGAAGAATGAAAAAGAGTAAAGAAAGCTTGTAAGACTTATGGAATGCCATACAAGAACAAACATTCATATTATTGGAGTTTCAGAAAAAAAGAAAGGAAAAGGTATAAGAAACTTATTTAATAAAATAATCGCTGAAAACTTCCCAAGTCTGGGGAAAGGTATGGATATCCAGGTCCAGGAAGTCCAAAGGTCTCCAAATCATGTCATATATAATGAAATCCACATTAGACTAACAGTAGATTTCTCTGCAGAAAACTTACAGGCCAGGAAGAAAGGAGATAATATCTTCAAAGTGCTGAAATAAAAAAATTTCTAACTCTGAATACTATATGCAGCAAAGTTATCCTTTGGAAATGAGGGAGAAATAAAGTCTTTCCCAGACAAGCAAAAATGGAGAGAATTCATTACTACTACACTGGTCTTACAATAAATTCTCAAGGGAGTCATATATCTGGAAGCAAAAAGACAATAATCACTATCATAAAAACACACACAAGCATAAAACTCACTGGTACAGCAGATTAACAAAGGAGAAAGAGAAAAGAATAAAAGAGCATCAATATAGAAAACAACCCAACTGCAATGATAAACAATAAGAGAAAGAAGCAGCGAGGGGTAAGCAAACCCAGAAAACAATAAAATGACAGGAGTCCTCATCTATCAGTAAGAACCTTAAATGTAAATAGATTAAATTCCCTAGTTGAAAGATACAGACAAGCTGAATGGATTAAAAAAAAAACCAAAAAACTATTTGCTGCCTACATGAGACTCACTTCACCTGTACAGATACATATAGACTGAAAGTGAAGAAATCAATCAAGATATTTGATGCAAATGGAAACCAAAATCAGGTAAGAGTAGTTACATTTATACCAGATAAAACAGACTTTAAGTCAGAAACTGTAAAAAGAAATACAAGAGAAGTCATTCTATAATTATAAAGGGATCAATTTACCATAAGGATACAACAATCGTAAACATATATGCATTGAACATGGGATCACCCACTGTAAAGCAGGTATTATTTATCTAAAAGGAGAGACAGATTCCAATACAATAATATTTGGGGAGTTTGACACCCTACTCGCAGCATTGGACAAGTCATACAGATAGAAAATCAACATAGAAACGCTGGATTTAAACTGCATTTTAGACCAAATAGACATAACAGATATTTATAGTACATTTCATCCAAGAGCTGTATAATACACATTTTTTTTTCATTAGCACATGGAACATTCTCCAGATAGACCATATTAGGCTACAAAACAAGTCTCAATAAGTTTAAAAGAACTAAAATTATATCAAATTTTTTTCCAACCACAATGGACTAAAAGTATAAATCAATACAAGAGGAACATTCAAAATTGTACAAACATGTAGAAATTACACAACATGCTCCTGAGCAACCAATGGATCAATAAATATATTAAGAGATACATAGATTTCCCAAAACAAACAAAAATAGAAACACAGCAGACAAAAACCTATGGGATACAGCAAAAACAGCATTAAGAGGGAAGTTTATAGCAATAAACACCTATATCAACATGGTAGAAAGATTTCAGTGAAACAACATAGTGATATATCTCAAGGAATTAGAAAAGCAAGAACAAACCAGATCCAAAATCAGAAGAAGGAATGAAATAATAAAGATCAGAGAAACAAATGAAATTGAGACTAAAAAACCATAAGAGATGAATGAAATTAAAGTTGACTTTATGAAAATATAAACAAAATTGACAAAGCATTAGCTAGACTACTAAAAAAAGACCCAAATAATCAAAATCAGAAATGAAAAAGGAGGCATTACAACTGATACTACAGAAATACAAAGGGTCATTAGAGACTACTAGGAAGAACTACATGCCAAAAAATTAGAAAACCTAGCAGAAATGGGTAAATTCCTCAATACATACAATCTACCAAGCTTGAGCCAAGAAGAAATAGAAAACCTGAACAGATCAATCATGAGTAATGAGATTGAATCTGTAATAAAGTCTCCCATTGAAGAAAAGCCCAAGATCTGATGACTTCACTGCTTAATCCTACCAAACATTTAAAGAAGAACTCATACTAATTCTTCTCAAATTCTTCTGGAAAACTGAAGAGGAAGAAATTCTTCCAAACTCAATCTATGAAGTCAGCATTATTCTGATACTCAAACCAGAAAAGGACACAACACAAAAAAGGAAAACTACAGGCCAATATCCTTGATGCAAAAATGCTTAATGAAACACTTGCAACTGAATCCAGCAGCACATTAAAAAGATCATTCACCATGATCAAGTGGGATTTACCCTGGGGATGCAGGGGTGGCTCAACATATGCCAGTCAATAAACGTGATACGTCACACCAACAGAATGAAGGACAAAAACTATATGATCATCTCAACAGACTTAGGAAAACATTTGATAAAATTCAACAATCTTTCATGATTAAAACTCTCAACATCTTAGGTATAGAAAGAATGAGTGTACACAGTGAAGGCCCTAGATGACAAACCCACAGCCAACATCATACTGAATGGGGAAGATTTGAAAGCTTTTCCTCTGAGATCTAGACCAAGACAAGGATGCCCACTTTCAACACTTTTATTCAACACAGTACTGGAAGTCCCAGCCAGAACATTTAGGCAAGAGAAAGAAATAAAGGGTATCCAAAGGGGAAAAGAGGAAGTCAGACTGTACCTGTTTGCAGATAACATGATCTTATATATAGAAAATCCTAAAAGCTCCACCAAAGACTCTTAAAACTGATAAATATAGTACAGCTGCAGGATACAAAATCAACATACAAAAATGAGTAGCATTTCTATACACCAAGAACAAACTAGCAGAGAAAGAAAATGAGAGAGCAATCCCATGTATAATAACTACAAAAAAATCTAGGAATAGATTTAGCCAAGGAGGTAAAAAATCTCTATAAGGAAAACTATAAAATACTGATGAAAAAGATTGAAGAAGCCACAATAAAAGAGAGAAAGAAACAGCATCCCATGTCATTGGGTTGGAAGAATTAATATTGTGAAAATGACCATACTACCAAAAAAGCAATCTACAGATTCATTGCAATTCCTATATAAATACCAAGTGACATTCTTCACAGAAATAAAAAATCCTAAAATTTGTATGAAACCACAAGAGACCCCAAATAGCCAAAGCTATCCTGAATAAAAAGAAGAAAACTGGAGGCTTCACACTGTCAGAAATCAAAATATACTACAAAGCTATAGTAACTGAAATACATGGTTTAGACAGCAAAACAGACACACTGACCAATGGATCAGAAGAGAGAACCCAGTGAGGTTGGAGCCCCCCCACAGAGTCCATACTGGGGTGAAGGTTGCAGTGAGCTGAGATCATGTTGGGCAACCAAGCAAGACTCTGTCTCAAGAAAAAACCCAGAAACCAAAAAGCAAGAACAACCTCTCCCTCCCCCCAAAAAAACCCAAACAAACAAACAAAATAAGACAAGTCATTTATAAAAAAGAATCAAACCTAGCTGTTCTTTTTGTCAGAAAAATGGTCATGGTAATGAAATCCAGCTTGGTGCAGCATGGACAAGAATATATATCACTATAGTGCCAACTTAGCTTCAGAGAGCTGTATGTGAATCTCCTCAATTTTTGGATGCTAAAATGAGGAAGCTAGGGTTAACACCATTGGTACTATCCTTCTCCTATATATCTCAACTCATTTCTACTGTTAATCCATGCTAAGCCAAAGAAGAAAGGCATGGAACATAGTGTTTGCCAAACTGCTGCCTTCATTTCAAAAATTATTATTTATTTATTTCTTGTCACTTTTATTTATTTTTATTTTTATTTTTTTGAGACGGAGTTTCGCTCTTGTTGCCCAGGCTGAAGTGCAGTGGCGAGATTTTGGCTCACCGCAACCTCTGCCTCCCAGGTTCAAGCGATTCTCCTGCCTCAGCCTCCAGAGTAGCTGGGATTACAGCTATGTGTCACCATGCCTGGCTCATTTTGTATTTTCAGTAGAGACAGGCTTTCTCCATGTTGGTCAGGCTGGTCTTAAACTCGCAAACTCAGGTAATCTGCCCGCCCTGGCCTCCCAAAGTGCTGGGATTACAGGCGTGAGCCACCGCGCTCGCTGACACTTTTATTTTTATATATTGCATGGTAGTAGCAGTTGAGTATTCCATCTCAGGAAGAGGAAACTTTAAAGGGGAGCAGAAGGGAAAGGAAAAAAGTTCTTTGGTTTTCTTCTAGTTCCATTCAATAAGGTAGGAGCTCTGTCGATCAACCTTTGTAACTCACCGGATTGACAGATGCTATTTCCTCTTAAACAAAACAATGGCCCCAGCACACTTCAAGTTTGAAGCTGTCACACTCTTCTCTTGTATACCTGTAAGCTGCCACTCTAAGAATCAATTGAGTTTGTTCCCAAACTTGTTTGTGCCAGTGTGTGGCAATAGTTTTAACTGAAATATGTTGTTTAAATAAATATGGCCGGGTGCGGTGGCTCACGCCTGTAATCCCAGCACTTTGGGAGGCCGAGGTGGGTGGATCACAAGGTCAGGAAATCAAGACCATCCTGGCTAACATGGTGAAACCCCAACTCTACTAAAAACACAAAAACAAAAAATTAGCCCTGCGTGGTGGTGGGCACCTGTAGTCCCAGCTACTTGGGAGGCTGAGGTGGGAGAATGGCGTGAACCCAGGAGGCGGAGCTTGCAGTGAGCCAAGATCGTGCCACTGCACTCCAGCCTGGGCGACAGAGCAAGACTATGCCTTAAAAAGGAAGGAAGGAAGGAAGGAAGGAAGGAAGGAGGGAAGGAGGGAAGGAGGGAAGGAGGGAAGGAAGGAAAGAAATATTACATAAACCAATGATATATGAGTGTGAAAGAGTTATTTTTTTTCTATAAAAATTAAGTAAAATCTTTTGGAAACCTCCGTTAAAAATGCTGCTAAAAAGAAATGCTGTAAAATTAGGTGTGAGTGAGGAAACTAAAAGAATGTAAAATATAATAAAACCCTAAAAGGATTCTGCTCTTCTATGTATTGCAAGTATTGCTCAGTTTTTTCCACTTTAAATAAATCAAAATGGAAATCAGAGACATTGCCTTTTGTGTGGTTTACGTAAGAAAGACCTGATAGCAATTAAAACAGCATACTTATTTAAAATGAAGACCTTGGCTCTTCATCAAGTTATTGACTAATAAATATTTGTTTAACTTAAATTTATATTTATTTTAAATGTATAAAATAATTTCCCACTTTAACTGATTTTTCAATTAAGTGGCCAATTACCAGGCTCAAAGCATCAAATGGACTTGTATTTCCATTATGGCCCATTATTGCTTCATTTCTTAATATAAATATATGTATACCTGGTCCCTGGCTAGATCCCAAGTGAGAAAAATTAAATAATTAGCTAAAGAGTTTAAATAATCTACTTCTTCTAAGTTTCCCTATTTGTAACACAAGTTGGGGAGAAGTCTGAGAAGACTACCTAGAAATTGTTCTATTCAGAACTTTTTTTTTTTCCCCCCCAGGAAAAAAAGAATCACCCAGTCACAGGTCTGGAAAATGCTTGTAATGCATGTCTGTGAGACATACTAATAATACTATGCCATATATTAATAGATGTAGATTTTTCAATTAAGACATAATTCTTTTGGCTCTCCTGGGAACTATACTTTCATCCCTTTGATAACTTTCTGACTAATCTCTCTAATTTCCACTACACTGATAGGAGAAATTTAGAATTAGATACCCAAAGTCCATGAAGCTGAAATCTTCAGTGCCTTTCAGGCCTACCAGTCTCACCTGTTCACCAGCTTGGGATTCCCCAATGATGAAACGATCTCCTGGGCCATCAGCAGCTGTGAGATGGAACAGAGCCAAGAACAAACATCAGTATGGACCTATAGCATGGAACAAGAACCTAAAATTGGAATTCTAAAATTTGACTCAAATTATTTGATAAGACTTAGAGAAGTGGAATATTTTTCTGATCTCCTAGACTTGACAATGACTTTGTTACTACTGGTTTAATGTTTGGTATCTGCAACTCACATGCACTGATAGAAGTGGTCCTAATTGTACCACTGGTGACTAATTGTGCCATGGTGTCACTGGAGATGGTCTTCCTGTCACCTTGTAATTTCCAAACTTGTGCTCTTCTAATGTTATTCTAGCTGATCTTCCTAATACTACCTTATCCATGTGTACGTATGTGTCATGTGTGTGTATACACTCATGGATATATGTATACACACATATATATGTGTGTGTATATATATTTGTATATATATCCATATGTCTCCATTTTTCAATAACAATTTAACTACTTCGTACTGTTTTCTTATTTATCTCCCAGTCTGGGCTTCCTGATGTGAAATAGGAAGAACATTCCTTTCTTCATTTGACGGCTGAAGGAAATGAATTACAGAATGAAAGAATTCAGGTAGAAAGAAAAGGTAAAGTACTCTGAACAACTTCTGGTTAATGGTAGAGCTAGGACTAAAATCCAGTCTCATAACTGTAGCACAGTATTTTTAAATAATGTATCAAAATTCTATTTATGAGTTAGAATACATAGGCAGTACTGTATCACATTTTCCATTGGCTATTTATTTTTAAATTGAAAAAAAAATTCCAGAATTGGGATGAAAAAAGTTTATTAAAAAATATATACAGTATAACAATGGCTAGATGAAGAAACATTCTTGGCGATTTAAAGAGTTTTCTTGACATATGATGTGGCTTTCAGACCAATATGACGGGGCAAAAATGTCTATCTAGTATGTTTTAAAATCATGACCATTACCTTCACGTTACCTGCAAACAGCAGAGTTTTGGGGACATATCTACAAAAAATATATACATTATATATGAATATTTAACATTTATAATCATAGTGATAAATAATGATATTTTCTCTTTTTAAAAGGACATTAGATTAATTGCTCATTTATGTAGCTATAAAGTGATATTTTTTTCTAAAGTCTTACATAAAACACTGTTTATAATGAAGTCATCCCTTTTTTGCATAAATGGTTTTGGTTAGCATGATGTGAAGTAGGACAAAAATTAACACTGGGTCCCTTCTGTCACAAGATGTTGTATTTTACGCTTTATAGATATTATCCAAGTTAATAAACTCCTGTTTTTCTGTGTTTTTTTTGAATCCTGTTATATTGTTCAATTTTTACTTGTAAAAAATATTATAGAAGAGTTTTATGGTAATGTTATTTTATTAAGCCATTTTCACGGGTTATTTTTTTAAAAAGTTTAAGAAGTTTTTACAACAGGCCGGGTGTGGTGGCTCACACCTATAATCCCAGCACTTTGGGAGGCTGGGGCAGGCAGATCACCTGAGGTCAGGAGTTTGAGACTAGCCTGACCAACGTGGAGAAACCCTGTCTCTACTAAAAATATAAAATTAGCTGGGTGTGGTGGCACATGCCTGTAATACTAGCTACTCAGGAAGCTGAGGCAGGAGAATCGCTTGAACCTGTGACGCGGAGGTTATGGTGAGCTGAGATCGTGCCATTGCACTCCAGCCTGGGCAACAAGAGTGAAACTCCGTCTCAAAAAAAAAAAAATAAGTTTTTACAACAGACATAGAAGTCATTGCTTCAACAATTATCAACATTTTACCAATCTTGTTTCATCTATTCCCCCAATTATTTTTGCCATCTTTCAGAGCAAATGATAATTTTCTTACTGTAGAAAATTAAAACATCAATTATCTTTCAAAGTTCCACACTAACTGCATCTCAAACGTGAATAAACTTACTTAAAATTGTTTCTCTACTAGATAAATAATTATCAGCTTGCTACCTCCTATGGCAACCTAGATATTTTCTCTCTCTTTTTTTGTTTTGAGACGGAGTTTCGTTCTTGCTGCCCAGGCTGGAGTGCAATGGCGCGATCTCGGCTCACTGCAACCTCTGCCTCCCGCGTTCAAGCCAATCTCCTGTCTCAGCCTCCCGAGTAGCTGGGATTACAGGCATACGCCACCATACCCGGCTAATTTTTGTATTTTATTTTATTTTGTTTTTTTAGTAGAGATGGGGTTTCATCATATTGGTCAGGCTGGTGTCAAACTCCTGACCTCAGGTGATCCACCTGCCTCGGCCTCCCAAAATGCTGGGGTTACAGACATGAGCCACCGTGCCTGACCCGTTTTCTCTTTTTTTACTTCCTGCACAAAGGGGAAATTAGCATTGTTTTAGAGTAAAGAAACCTGAATCTGAATCCTGGTTCTGTTTATTGTTAGCTTGAGGGACTCTCAGCAAAATTACTAAACTTCTCTAACCTTCAGTTTTCTTGTTGGTAAAAATGGGGATAATCACACTTTTAAAACAATACCTTTGAAGCTCTTTATTCCTTTTATTCATTCAGTAAATGTCTGTTGAGTGTCTTTTATGCCCCAAGTGTTAAATTAGGGGCTGGAGAGAGAGTAGGGGGTAAACCTAGACACTGCTTCTATTTTAGTGCAGTGCCAACCTGTTACAAGGTTTTTCAAACTCTGGATGACAAATGGAGGTAGGCTGTAAAATCAACTTGTGAAGAACTTTTTAATGAAAAGGATAGAAATATATTTCAACACACCTGGTAAGGATGACTCTTGTTTCATAAAACTTATTTTTGTTTATATATGTGTATGTATGTATATTTATATGTACCATATATGTTATATATGTGTGTGTATATCATTGGCTTGTGATGTATAATATATTTAATGTATTTCTTCCCATGGGTGTGGTTAAAATAAAATTCTTAAAGTCACTGATGCATCAGGAGAGGCAGATATTAATCAAATAATCACATTAATGAATACATACATACAAATTAAGAAAAACACTCCAAAGCAAAGAAACATGATTTTATGACAGTATACAATTAAAGTACCTGAGCTACACTGGAGGGTCACGAAAAGCATGATAAAAGAATTTCTGATTTGAATATGAAGAATGAGTATGAGCTAAGTAGGGGTGTGTGTGTGTGTGTGTGTATGTAGGTGGGGGGAGAGAAAGGGAGGGAGATAGGGAGGGAAGGGAGGAGAGGGAGAGAGGGGAAAAGACAGACATGAAGTGGAAGTGCTCCATCATTGTGTGCAAAGAGAACATATGTGCAGAGGCCTTGGTTCATGTCTTCCTTATACCTTATACTCTAGCTATTATCAACTGCTAGTACTATCCCTGAGAGTACCAAGATAATTCATATTTTGGCTCCATGACATATGCTACTTCCACTACTTAAAGTATCCTTTTCTTATTCTTGCCTTCTGATTAAAGATTTTCTAGCTGTTAAGGCTCAGCTCAAGTGTCATCTTCTCTATGAAGTTATATCTGACTCCTCTCCCCTCAAGAGTTGTCAGCATCCTCTTTTGTTTCCCCAGTGTAGCCTGAAATCAATTATAGCTTCTAAGTGTACTTATAGTATTTGCAAATCCCTGGCACTTGCTGTACAATGGGTGTTAAATAAATGTTCAATATGTTAAGTATTCAAAATGGTGGGTAGATGAATGAATGTGTTCCAAAAATGTTCTTAGAAGATTCATGCACAAATGAACAAATAAGTAATATTTTCTAACACAAAGTTCTATATTTGTTATATATACTTTTTGCTGATCCATATATATTGTTTCCTTCAAAATTTGAGTCAGCATCTTAAGAATGTTTAGAAAGATTGCTTTGGCTAGGCAAATCACTTCAGCTCAGGAGTTTGAGACCAACCTGGGCAACATGGCAAAACCCCATCTCTACAAAAAATACAAAAATTAGCCAGGTGTGGTGGTGTGTGCCTGTAGTCCTAGCTACTTGGGAGGCTGAGGCACAAAGATGGCTTGAGAACTGGGTGGTAGGTGGGGAATGGAGGTTTTAGTGAGCTGAAATTGTACCACTGCACTCCAGCCAGAGCAACATAGTGAGATCCTGTCTCAAAAAAAAAAAAAAAAAAAAAAAAAAAAGAGACTGCTTTAATTCTGTATAACTTAGATTATGTCATTATTCTGTCTAGCATAGTGCCTAGCTCATTGTTGATAATAAATATTTGTTAAAAGAATAAAGAAATGAAGTTGGCATTCTCATAAAGTTTTAGGTGGGAAGTGTTTCTCTTTTCTCCTGTAAATGCTCATATCAATGTTCTGCACAATCCTCTAAATAAACTGAATAATGAGTAGCTGGAGGTCATCTGGGAGGTCATCTGGGGCAGACCTAGTATGGAGTTTCAGGGAAGTCCACATGTGAAAGCGCTCTGAAGTGATTCTAAGGAGCAAGGTCTTTGTTACTGGGGAAAGTATACCAATTGTGGAGAGAATATGTGCTCACTTGCACTATGTTCTCCACCTTACCCTGAACCTTTCCAGTTGGTAAATGTTTACTCTATATTGCTAGCTAAGGAAGAATCAGTCAACCAACTACACAGAAGTTTCTTTGTACCAAGAGAGGAGTCATTTTTATTATTTCTCTTATTTCTCAACATTTAGTGTACATGCAAATCATCTGGATATCTTGTGAATATACAGATTCTAATTTAGTAGGGCTGGGACAGGGCCTGAGATTCTAAATTCTAACAAGCTGATGCTGAGGCTGCTGGTCCATGGATTACCCTTTTTGAGGAGCAGAGCACTATAAGATCTAACTGAATATAGACAAATTCAGACTAAGAGAACATTTAAGGAATAAAAAATTAGTGAACTACAGGAGTCCAAATTTTACATAAACACTAAGGTTTGTCTTATAAAGACAGAAAAATAATTATCAATCTATCTAACTTCCTGATACAGTCATGAGTCACTTAACAATGGGGATATATTCTAAGAAATGCATTGTTAGGCAATTTTGTTGTGTGAACATCATCACAGAGTGTA